TTGTTGGTTCCACAGAACGGTGAACAGATATGGTTTTATTATGGGACACACTGGTTGATTTGCTCAAAATGCAAAACTAACTATGAAAATTTCATAATATTTTATAATCTGATTTATTCCATTTCGTTTCTTCAGTTATTAATCAAAATTAATAACAAAATTATTTCTTATTTTATCCGTGAATCAACGTTAAACTACGGCCACTTCCTGGGTAAGACATTAAACTACGTCCAGCAGCAAGGCCTCTGATCAGGAGGTTTTGAGGAGCATGGAACCACCTCTTAATTGCTGGTGTTCCCAGGTTCAATCTGACGCGGGGTGGTAGTACCTGTTAGGGTCCCAGCTATGGGCAAATAGTTAACTATTACCAGCAATAGTTTTTTGAAAGAAATTAATACCAGCAATACAATTTTGAAGGAAATATATTACCAGAAACAGATTTTTGACAAAACAAATTATTACCAGCAACAAAAAATGTTGTCGGCATTAAATAACCCATTGAGGTTGATATGCCGTAAAACAAAATAAATCAAACCAATCTAAACCAAAGAATACATACTCTATTCATACGAATCTATCCTAAAAATGTTGTCTTCATTAAATAACCCATTGAGGTTGATATGCCGTAAAACAAAATAAACCAAACCAATCTAAAGAATACATATTCTATTCATACGAATCTATCCTAAAAATGTTGTCGGCATTAAATAACCCACTGAGGTTGATATGCCGTAAAATAAAATAAACCAAACCTATACCTGAATCCCTGATCACGATTCCTCAAATCTCAGAATTACATTCTTGGAATGGTTACCAAAACGAAAACCAAAGTTTATTTCGTGATGTCTTGAGTTCTCCTCACTTACAAAATGTTTTCTCTCAATGGAAGTAAGACTTTGTTATTCTGAAGTGTCCACTTGTGCATCTACGAAACTGACATATTTCAATGGATAGTTTTGACACATGACACTTTTCTCTTTGTATGGAGCATTAGTGGTGGCCTTTCTGTTTCTTCTGTCAAAACTGGAGAATGTCTTTTAAAAGACCATGACAAGAGGGATTATTTCGTGAAACCGGAATGGACATGCTCCAAATGGCATTCGAAATAATGGAATGAATTTTCTCTGACCAGGAAGAGACATGCAAAAGAAATTATTGTCCCAGAAAGGGAAACAGGTAAGCTACCTATTGGTTAGTAGTAGAAGGATAAGGTCTAACTTTAAAAAAAAAATGCTTCATTTAGAATCAGCGACATTCATTAGCATTATGGTCATGACTTGGTGTAGTAGTCGGGTCGCTGTGAAGCTGAGCCCCACGAGAGTTACCTCTAGATATCTGGGTTAAAAGCTGGAGAGTTATTCATTGTTGTGGAGCATGTCCTTGACATCATGACCAGGCGGAGCCTATCTCTCTTCAGGTCAAAACACGGCTGATGTCCTCCAGCTTGAAATCTCTCTTTGATCACGGACGCTTGGCCGTCGATTCGGTAGGAAGAACCCCCTGACTTGGCCGTTGTCTGCAGTCTAAGGAGTCCTTCACACAGCAATGCTGTGTCATCATGCACAGTCAGTCAGGGTATCTCATTGATTTAGACAACTGTTGACACTACACACTCGGGAAAATAAAATGAAACAAAACGAATAATTCCGTTACTATTTACTTTTTTTTATATGTTCCCAATGCAACATGAGCCAGTGCACATGTTAGTACTTCGTATATCCTTTCCACGAAGTCGTTCCTTACAGATTGACCTGAGATTCTCGATTAGATTTAAATCAGGAGAGTTTCCGGGTCAGTACATATTACTTTGATTTGTTCACTGGTAAGGCATAGAAGTGTGTTTGTGCAGCGTTGCAATTTTCGTACGCTTTCTTAGAGTAACGTCCACCGCAGACAAAACTGTAGGACAACTAATCAACAGTCGAGATAATAGTGTCTGGGCGTTATCAAAACCTGAGGGAATCACGGATGACGCAATATTATTCAAGGCCAAACAAATTCCATAATACACTCATCCATATTCGGAGCCACCACTCCAAATGTTCCAATCTGAGATAAAAATAGAAATTGATTACACACTGTCACTCCAGTGGGTCTAAAACTAACCGTATGATTAAAGAAAGGAAACTAAAACTGATGTTTCAATTAATTTGCACAAGGGTGTATAGATTCATTGCCTGAAACGTTATTTTTAGCGGATACCCGTATCTGAGTAGACACTTCTTTTATTTTAGACAATATTTATTTCGACTATATGTCTGCGTATTCGAGGAAAAGACATTTTTTTAATTAATTTGTATTATAAATGTCATTCAAGTGGGTACAGGTGTGTGAGTTATTAACCTCGTTGTTTTTGTAATGTTTATAACAACAATTACTTTGTATCTTCTGACAATTCGACTTTTTAAAAGATTTCTTTAATACACAGGTCGCTAGATGAAAAAAAATCTGTTTAAAATAAACGGAGCGTTTACTGAAATACGGGTATCCATTAAACATTACCTTTGAAGTAATAGAAATAACTTGGATTAATAAATAAAATCCATCAATATTTTATAAAATATATATTCATGATAAAATATAGTTTTAAGCCATGTCAGATTTATGGGTTAAAGTGCTAGATAGATAGGAATAGAGTGTATCTATATATAAAACTGCAGTGGGTCAAAAACTGACCGTATTATGAAAGATTGGAAAATAAAGCCGTTGTCTCAATTAATTTGCACAAGTTTGTATACAAAGGATGATCGGACCTTTCACAGGTTTTCGTTTTTTTTATATCGTGCTCAATATCTAGTTACCCTAAAAAAGATTCTTGGCAGTGGTACCGGTTTAGTCACTAGTAACTCGACAGCTGCGGCTGTTAGTATTGCGTTACAGGGTACCCTCTGTTACTGCTACAGTGACATGGCTTAAAACACTCATACATATTGTTAAATCCATATTTTTTCGAAAAAGTTCTGTAGAAATTAATTTAGAAAGACAGTAAGAATGAATTGAACGAAATTGAGATAGCAAGGAGGACGAGAGAAAACGAATAAAAAGGACTGACGATTGACAGGTTTAGACTGGAATAGATCAAAGATCGATAGCTATTCACAATGCATATCACATTACCTGGTATAGGGAGTGGATTTTTCTTCAAAACTAAATATAACATTATTTTAGAATAACTACTGAAAACATTTCATCTTCTATGTGCTGTATCCATTAATGACGTTGGCGATCATAACTCTCCACTGTTTCCTATAATTTGTAGCTCTTAGTAAATGTTATCGTTTTATCCTCTATCCAAAACCCTGCTCTGCCAGCCATTTACACTAGCTCCTAAGGAAATTTATGTGCTGTTTTTTCTATGTCCATCTTAACTTTACTATGCCGTGTAAGTGCCAAATTTTCCAAGCCCCCTTTTCTTTATTATATGTAATAGAAATTTCAACTATCACTTTCAGATGTTAAATATAATTGTCCTTTTTGTTTTCATTTTCGCTACGTAATCAAATTGTTAATATCAAAATGTTTGTGATCATACACCAAAGAATTGAAAATCTGTTGTCAAAACATAAACTCCAAAATATGTAGTAGGCCAAATAGACGAGGCGAGTATGAAACGAGGAAGTCTAAAAAAGAAAAAAAAATAGCAGTATAAATACACACATGCTCAGAATCAAGAAGACATAACTGAAATTTTTAGGCACATAAATAGGTACGGCGGATTGGAAAATGCGTAACGTTTACAATTGCTACTGTCTTTGACAAATCAATAACAGATATGACATTAAATGACATCTTAATGACATATTAATGGCGGATTCGAAAATGTGTAAGCTATATCATCCCTTCTGGCTTTTGAAATATTTATAGGTATGACATTAAATGACATATTAATATTTTCAGATATGACATTAAATGACATATTAATCACGGATCGGAAAATGCGTAACGTATACCATTGCTACTGGATTTTGACACATGAATGATATTTATGACATTATTTGACATATTAATGACAGATGCGAAAATGCGTAAGGTATATCACCATTTCTGGCTTTTGACATGAATATCATATATGGCATCATTTGACATATTAATCATGGATCGAAAAATGCGTAACGTGTAACATTGCTAGTGGCTTTTGACATATGAATGGAATATATGTCATTATTTGACATATTGATGAGATGTAAATTAGAAAATCCGCAAGATATACCATAGCTTTTGGTTTTGACCTATGAATAACGGATATGACATTATTTGATATATCAATGGCGGAGAGGAAAATGCTTAACGTAAACCATCGTTTCTTGCTTTTGTCATATGAATGACAGATATGGAATTATTTGACTTATTAATAACATATAAATCATAGATCGGAAAAGGCGTAACGTATACTGTTAATACTGATTTTGACATATGAATGGCAGATATGACATTATTTGACATATCAATGGCGGACAGGAAAATCCTTAACGTAAACCATCGGTTGTTGCTTTTGTCATATGGATTACAGATGCGGTATTATTTGACATATTAATGACATATTAATGACGGGTACAAAATTCCGTAAAATAAACCATTGCTTCTGTTTTGGACATATGAATGACAGATATGACATTATTTGAGATATCAATGGCGGACAGGAAAATTCGTAATGTATACCATCTGTTCTTGATTTTATCATATAAATGACACATATGACATTATTTGACATATTAATGATATATGAATGACAAATTGGAAAATGCGTTTGTGACTTTGGATGATAGATATAACATTATTTTTACATAAACATTATTTTTAATGGATACTCATATTTGAGTAGACGCTCTGTTTTTGTTTATTTATTTAACAGTATATTTATTCATTTCCTTCTACCGGCCTGAATATTCGAAAATCGTATTACAAAAATATGTGCCCCCCCCCCGGGCAGGATTTGGAGGAAGGTGTATATTTTTTTCTATTTTTGCGTCATTATCCATTACATCACCCGCACATCCAAGCTTACAGCACCTGATATTCCCAAGCGGTTACCCATCTAGGTACTGACCAGGATTGACGTTGCTTAACTTCGGTGATCGTACGGGAACTCGACTCTCCGATTAACAATTCCGAGCCATTATCCATTACACCACCCACACATCCAAGATTACAGTACACCGTATTCCCAAGCGGTCACTCATCTAAGTACTGACAAGCTCGGCGATGCTTAACTTTCCTAATCGTACAGAGACCTTATTTAAACATGATATGGCCGTAATCCGGAATGTATTTTGCCTTGTAAGAATAATTATTTTCTAGTGAATATACTATAAACCGTTTTTCTTTTAGTTTAACAGTGATTTTATTTTCCTTATACAAGTTCTTTTATTTAATCCATAGCTGGGGGAAGAATAGAGGTATTCATATCTTTCCAAAGGGTATTTCTGCGTATATAAATTTAACGAGCCAGACTGGAATTCGAACTTGCCTCTCTGTTTTCTCATTCTGCGCCGCTATCATTTGCACCACCCGCACATCCTTGATTTGATTTGATTTGCAAAGTCGCAGAAAGATTTTTCCCCATTAACATTCTTTCAAATGTTCGTAGCTTTTTTGTTTTTTTTTGTTTTTTTTTTCTTTCAGAACATTGCACAGTTGCTGAAAAGGGATTAAAGCCGACGAGAATCTCGGCTAACAGAACGCGATTTCGCTCGATGTTATTTCAATTTTTTTGTTTCTTTTTTTAGCGGAGTGATTTAGACCATTGTCACGCTGAAAAATAGCACTTCTTCTCCTCAAGGCTTTTAATGAAAGCAACGTTTTCTTTCAATATATTTTAGTAACCAATACAATTCATGATTCTTACGGGGAAATGAGTGAGTGTTTGTGCCACCTCGCTTAAATGTTAATACAAAACTCTTTTCTTTGTAAACCCAGCCATGACGACGCCAAACACTTTCAATGCCATTAGACCCCAAAATACTGATTTTTTTTTGTTTCATTTGTCTTCAGTACGAAATATTGATTTCTTTCAGTTCCTATTCTCTTGCGCAATCTTTAAACAGAAATCTGATTTTGATTTCAGCAACAGTTTACAACGCGTTCGTCGGCAATGCAGACCAATATTCTTCAGACTAGGTTTTATTGTTGGAGTAGTACGCATCTTTTTTTTTTTGCGTATTTTTTGGAATAAAAAGCTTATTTTTTGCTAATCTTCATCATCTGATTTGATTTGATTGCTTAACCGTATATCTACTCATTTAATAGCGAAATTTTAATTTTTGGAAGCTATAAAGTAATTAAAATATGATATATGTTATTCTGCTTCCACAATTGAATACATGGTAGATGATGCTCAGATTTTGTGGATATACATATTTGTGTGAACATTATTACTAAAGGCGGTAATATAGCTTTTATTATTTGTTTTTTTTATATTATATTTTATAATTCGGTTTGATTTCTCAGAAATTATAGGATATTATAGGGATTAATATCATGAAGGAGTTATTTAATTTTAGTTGTTTACTTTTTCGGTGACATATCAACACCTCGATGGGTTATTTAATGCTGAAATCTATGTATTTTGTACAAAGGTTAATTGTTTCAACTACAGATAAAATAAATTCTTAATCATTTTGCTATTGTTGGTATTTTTACTATAAATTGCTATTGTTCGTAATGTTTTAGATAAATATGTATTGCTGGTATTTTTACTATAAAAATGTATTTTTTTAAAAACTTTCATAGTGTTTCGATTTTGTTTATGGATGCTCTATTTGCCCATTGCTGGGACCCTAACAGGTGCTACCACCCCCAGCACAGGTTGGACCTTGGAACAAAAGTAATTTAGAGGTGGTTCTACACTGCTCAGAACTTCCAATCTCCCGATCAGAGGTCTTGCTGCCGGATGCAGTTTATCGTCATACCCAGGACTAATCTTCATCATCTGATATCCTAAGAAAACAAATAGATGACAGTGGCAGCTTGCATGGATCATAGTTTGATTCTGGATTTCCACTTTTCAGCGTTTTTTCAACATTGTTTTTTTCAAGTAAGTTTTGTCGCTATTTGCATAAGCAATGTTCTTCTAAGGAAAATATAACACATCCTTCCAAACTGGTTGGTTGTTCTTTGTTTTTTAGGGTTTTTTTTTAGTTTGGCGGCATATCAATATCTCTATGGGTTATTTAATGCCGAAATCTGAATAATTTGTACGGAATTTTATTTTTGTATTGTTTGCAGATAATAATGGTTTTAGTGTTAAAAGACTTACTAATTAACCCATAGGGGGAGAAGAAGATATGGATTTATTTACTCGTAAGTGAATATAAAGAACCCAAATGGAATTCGAACCTGGTTCCCGATTAACAATGTCGTGCTATAATCCAGTACACCACTCGCATATTGTGGTTTACAGCACGGGATATTCCCAAGCGGTCACTCATCAAGGTAGTCACCAAGCTTGACATTGATTAACTTCGATACTGGTATCTAGCCACCCCCCCACGAGGGTTGCATGTGGCACAAGGCCGAGTTTATCGTGGGTTTCCCGAGCCCGTAGGCTCAGCCAAAAAATGCCCGTAAACCCCGTATAAGCGAGATCGGGTTGGTCATTTCTCCCCGAACGAGATTCTGCCCTTCGGCGGAACATCGTCCGGGTTCCTTTCTGCTCAGAGGCAGAGAGTTCAACCGTCAAGCCGAGAAGCTCGGCTTGATTCAATACTGGTATGCGGATTGGTGTTTCAACGTTGCGTAGACGTCAGGCCCCTTTCAAATTAGACGACATTGGTATATATGTGTAGGTAGTAATGAACTGTGTACAGAAATCTATGATTTTATAAGAATTATTTTGTACATTACATCGTCTATTCCCTATTTTCTCCGCCCTGGGTATGACGATAAACTACATCCGCGTCGAGGGTATGATGATAAACTACATCCGCGTCCAGGATAAGACGATAAACTACGTCCAACAGCAAGGCCTCTGATCAGGTGGGTTTTGTAAGAGCGAGAAACGACCTCTTAATTGCTGGTGTTACCAGGTCCACCCTGACACGGGGTGGTAGCACCTGTTAGGGTCCCAGCTATGGGCAAATAGTTAACCTAGAAACTGAGGTAAAAAGCTTTATAAAAGTGTAAAAATAGGTTTTAATAGCAGAAATACTTTGTAGATATTTATTACCAGAAAGAAATTTTTGAAGTAAAAAATATTACCAATTATACCTTTTTGAAAAAAATATTATCAGCAGTATGTTTTTGAAAAAGTAATATTTCCAGTTATACGTTTTTGATAAAATAATATTATCAGCTATACATTTTTGAGGAAAAAACTATTAACAGAAATAGATATATTACCAAAAAAAAAACAGTTGTCGACATTAAATGACCCATTGAAGTTGATATGCCGTGAAACAAAACAAAACAAACCTATTTCCATAGCAGTTTAAAATATATTTACAACATGGTAATAGAAATATTGGACTGTCTCATATTGATATTTTATAAACAGTTTCAGTGGAAGCTGAACTGTTATGCAATATCAATTGTCCTATAAGTCATTGGACATATTCCTCAAAAGATGAAGAAGAGATTCGTGACATTCGAAATATGGTTCTACAGAAGAATGCTGAATAAAGTTTAGATCTAATCTGTGAGTAAAGAGAAAGTATTTGGGAAAATTGCGGCAAAAAACCTCAATGTGTTATTTAATGCGACAACATTTTTAGGATAGTTTCGTATGAAGAGAGTATGTATTCTTTGGTTTAGATTGGTTTGGTTTATTTTGTTTTACGGCATATCTATCTCAATGGGTTATTTAATGCCAACAGCATTTTTAGGATAGATTCGTATGAATAGAATATATATTCTTTGGTTTAGATTAGTTTGGTTTCTTTTTCTTTGCGGCATGTCAACCTCAATGGATTATTTAATGCCGACAACATTTTTTATTGCTGGTAACATTTTGTTTTGTCAAAATTCTGTTTCCTTCAAAATTGTATTGCTGGTAATAATATTTTTCAAAAACGTATTGCTGGTAATAGTTAACTATTTGCCCATAGCTGGCATCCTAAAAGATAATACCACCCCGGGTCAGGGTGGACCTGGGAACACAAGCAATTAAGTGGTTTCTACGCTCCTCAAAACCACCTGATCAGAGGCCTTGCTGCTGGACGTAGTTTATCATCTTAACCAGGACGTGTCAGTACTGGATTTGAAAAAAATTCTATTTTAAAGAAAAGATTTTACTAAATTACAACTTACCTCCGTACAGGCTGCTCGGATAATGAATGCCGTATGTTTCCTTATAAGGAATTGTTTATTACTATTACTATCAATGGTAAAGGTTGGTTCGTTTCCTCTTGTAGAAAACCCTACTGGCAATCTATTCAGTTTCGTCGGTAGCTTCATTGCTTCATACACCAACGTTGTATCCTAAACCAGGGGTCGGTAATCTAAGGAACGCGTGCCAAAGCATTGCCAATGTCAGGCAGCCGCAAATGACATCAACAAAACTCACATTAATCCAACTAAATATATATATATATATATATATATGTGTGTGTGTGTGTGTGTGTGTGTGTGTGTGTGTGTGTGTGTGTGTGTGTTTGTGTGTGAGTGTGTGTGTGTGTGTGGTGTGTGTGTAATATATATATGTGTGTATATATATAATATATATATATATATATATATATATTTATATATATATATATATATATATATATATATATATATATATGCTTCCTTCCATCGGGTGTGGACAGCTGAAATTTTCCTTCTCCTCCTACATACCTTGAACGATGTTGTTAACGACTAGTCTTCCGATAAAATGTATTCAAAGAAGGCTTTCCCAATTCTCGATTTTCTCTTCGACTCTCTCGGCTTTACATTAATGATCTGCTTCCTAAGAGTAGGAGGCGGCGACCTAGGGCACGCGTTTCATACGTAGCACTCCAAGCAATTTCCAGTCGCACGCAACCTGCAAATAACATCACGATTTTCGAACCAGTAACGACTACAACGCAAAGAAGATATTTAGCTGTTTCAATTTTAATATATACTAAAGTATATATACTATATATTACTATATAAAATATATTGTAGAACAGGT